TTGTAGATTTTATTCTTTAAAACAATTAGTCCGTTTTATAAATTTTGATAGAACAGTGAGAAGATGTAATTGATCTGAAAAATGTTGTGATGTATTTACGCTATACACATTTCGAACAATCTGGTCACACATATTTACTTGCATTACGGGGTTGTGAAGATTGTGAAGTTACACATTTTTGAAACCGCGAATCGATCAATGTTAGACCACCATTAGAAACCTAGAAGCACTGAACGGCCGTTTCATCCTGGTATGGGACTCCGCAGCAGTGCGCATTCTCCGAGTTCTAGTGGGAAGACGTGACCAGTGAAGTTCAACCTGTTCGGGTGTAGACAGTGACTACCGAAGACTGGGTATGAGGTTGCGTAACTCCGTGAATTGATCAAGTTAGACACTAACACCATGAGATTTCGGCTCAGTGGTCCGATGGTTAGGCTATCGCGCACAATACTGAAGGTCCTGGGTTCAAATCCTGCGGGGTGCAGGAGTCGTGGATGCGCACTGCTGAGGATTCCCATACCAGGAAGAAACGACTGGCCAGTGCTTCCAGGTTTCTAATGGTGGTCTAACATTGATCGGTTGATGGTTTCAAAAATGTGTAACATAGACATAAGTTGATAATTGTAAATAAAGGAGAGAGAAAATTAACGTAATATGAGAAGAATAAGAAAGGGTACAAAATTGTCACATTATCCTAGGCTTAAAGATTATCAGGGTAAATTCGAGATTATAACAAAGTGTTTCTGTACTGTTACGCCTGCACGTAAACACGTCAACTTGATATTCTTGAACTATTACGAGTTTACCTAGTCGGAAAACGAGAGCGAGGATCCGGCGACACGACATGCTACTCAAATCCGATTATCTTAACCCCCATATTGAGTAAAAATAAGAAGACTTGATATGAAGTAGAATCCGTATACTACAAGCATTCAGAAAGTACGAGGTCCGAGTCCAGAAGAGAATCAGGATCCCGGACTAGGGATCCGGGACCGGGTCTTGATCCTGGTCGTGGTCATAAAACGTTACAGATAATGCGTATTTATACATTTAGGTCGAATAGGAAACAGCATCGATGGTCCAACTAGCGAAGTGCGCGTCCATTTATTAACGCTCAAATTTTTCCTTCAATATTTCCATACATTCTTAGGGAGGGGGGAGGGAGGGCAGCGGAGTTATTTCCAGGGTGGATGCATCGGGGCGTATGTGAAGGACTATCTGTGGATGTCAGATCCTTATGTCCTGTTTTTAGCGATCGATGAACATAGTTTTATATTTCCCACGCTTATCGTGCCTCATCTGACGTGTAACAACGCACTGACGTTGAAGCCGACTTAGGTGCATGTTACCATACCCCTTCGATTGCAAGAGTTTCTGTTTTTTTCTCTCCACCGTTAATTTTGACACACAGACCGATTACCAATAAACTAAGGTAACTAGAAAAGTGACACACTTCATTTTCCTGGAAATTCTTTTCAACAGCTTCAAACATAGATAAGAGCGGGCATATGTGCGTTTTCGTTTAATCATTTTACAATATTCTACAAGACAATAGTAATTCCAAGAGATTTGTGTATCTTTTTATTATTGAGATCAACAATAAATATGAATAAATTACAAAAACGTCCAAATAATAGTGTACTTTTATGTTAACTAATTTGGAAAATTTTAGAATAAAAATGTTGAAAACGCATATAGAGAAGTTTCTATTAAGGTGATCATTGATAGCACAAGTTATATTAGATGAATTAGCTTAGTGAATGAGATGAGCGATCTATTTTTGTGTTTTCTTCTCTAATTTTATTTCGTATGCAATATTATACTACTTACTAATAATCAGTATCAACTTTCAATTGTAATAATTTTCGAGAGTATAGCTTGCTATCATTATTGTGTAGGTTAGAATCCTAGAACTCACTTTGAAAAGGTCCTGATTTTTGATTTTTTATGTTTTAGCGCATAAGTTGATAATTTGACCTTGATCTTACATTTCCCACTCGGAAAATCCTTGGTTGATGGATTAATTTAGTACGCTATTTTCGTATCTCTCTCAAGGATGTTTCTACCATGTGTAAATAAGCTCGATTTGTGTACTTGTCGACCTCGCATTTTCTGGGTGCTTGTAGAATACACTTCCTAAACCTTGTCAAGACTTCTTGATGTAGTTAGCTGGGCCGGGGACGAACGGATTAGAATAGCATACAGTGTCACTACATCATTTGTCTTCGTTCCGTTTACCGACTAAGCTGAACTCGTATTAGCATTCAAGCAGATCAGTAAGCGAGCATATCAATCATTTGTTGTGTAACACGTATAAGTGTTGACATTAACTGAGAAGGTTCAATTTATGTATAATTCTAACAGTATCTCCTTAACATCTGTAACTGCTGTTTCCGATTTCGGTGTACTTATTCAACAAGTGTTTTAATCTTTAGAAGTTTCGATCACTGTCTGCACTCAAGGTTTTGACACGGCTATTATTGTTCAAGTAACTTATCCAAGCACCCTTCTTTGACTGTATACAAACCCCATATTTACCGTAGAAGCTTCACAAACCGAGGCTTGTAATTTATTCCATAAATTTCCCCAAAAAATTACCACATTCGTTGAAAATCTTGAGATTTCAATGAACAGATTTACGTATCACTCAGTTATGTGGGGTTAAATACTTGCTTAAAATATTACAACGGGTAAAGTGAAATATAATTCTACTGATGATGTTTGAGTAGTGATCATGTTAGACGAAATAACATAATCAATAAATTAGAATTCACTACTCTCTACCGAAGTTATCAGTATTTAAAAGGTTAAAACTGAACTTATGAGAATATAAGAAAATAATCATAAACTTCATACATCTCTAGCTTAAGCATAAGCTTTGTTCTTGTTTTAATTAGTTCGATATTGCTTTTAATCAAACTAAATGATGAAAATTTACCGTAAAGGAGATGCTAAAGATTTCATTATACACATTTGAAACCATCAATCAATCATTGTTAGACCACCTTCAGAAACCTGGGAGCACTGGAAGACCGTTTCGTCCTGGTATCGGACTCATCAGCAGTGCGCATGCACGACTCCTGCTCCTCGCTATATTCGAACTCGGGATCTTCGGTATTGTGCGCGAACGCCGAACCATTGGACCACTGGGCTGGCATCCAGCGGTGTTAATGTCTAACTCTGATTGATCTAGGGATTTTGCACGACATCACCCATTTGTCTTTGGTAGTTACTGCCTACACTCAACAGGGTTGAACTCCATTGGTCACGTCTTCTCAACTAGAACTCCGAGAATTTCCTCACGAAGCTAGTCACTAGTGAGCTCTTCGTTTGTGCTTGTACGCTTTCCTTTGCACATTTGTCTGCATAAATAATTGCATGAAATAAATTCATCCGAGAAACTGTATTTGACCTTTTTATTACTACCGTCGCACAAACAGGATTACCCTAAGCATCATATATACGGAAGTCGAAAAGAATATTTATTTCATCACATACTCGATCATTCGTCCATACTGAAGCCTAGTAATAAGCTACAACACTATGTTTCACATTTCTCTTATTTCTTTATTTTGTATTCTCCTCATATATGTATATATCTGTATTTTTTCTCTGTAATAAAGCAAATCCACATTTACGTGATCAAGATAATTATTCACCATATCAATATGCCAATATGAAACATTTACATTTTTGTCGATTAATTTATGAACGTTATAATGTTGGTCAAGAAAAGCAACCGAATGAAAAACATACACTCAATGAAAATGTAATTAATGAATTAACTAATTTTCGTCCAATTAATCCACAATTTTCTAATTATCAGGTAAGAGGAAAACATACAACAGTATGTAATAGTAATATATTGTAAGTCAGTATAAATGGCATACATAGTTATTATATTGGGATAATTTTCTGCTTGTATTTGACTCCAGTTGATTAATGACAATAGTGTAGGATCCAAATTGAGGTTTGGACTGAGGAATAACTGTCCAGATAGTTTAGATACGAGGTTGGCCCAGTTTAAAACCAAAACAAGTGGTTTGGATAAATGACGGTTCTAATCTTGATCATAATTATAAATATACATCATTACCTAAACAAATATTACCACTTAGTTATTCCATCAACAATTGTTCAATTAATCAAATCAGCAGCAACAAATAAGTGATATTCTATCCTTTCTGGATAGATCGGATTCGTTCGATAGATAATATTTGGTTGCTTTACAACACAGAGTGTTTCCAATTCTGGAAGAGTACTTCAATTCACAATCAAAATGCACAATTCCAGTCCAAGCGAGCAACACAATCAAAAGAGGAACAAATCAGTATGGCTGTCGTCATGACTAAGTCTCAGCTTAAACAACATAAATGCACTTCAGAAAGAAACATAAAAATTCAATGAAGGCAAAAGAAATAGAAACTATAATAGAATACAAATATTATCATCTCAAATGGAATCGAAGGGACTAACAAAAGGGATCAATAAGAACGTTTTATAAATGTATACATGGAGGGATTTTTATAAACAAAACCTTCAAAAATGGATCTTACAAATGGTTATGATGAGTGTGATAATGAATATAATCATTCACATAGGGTTAAAGTACAGTATTTAAACTAACTCCATTTTGCATTAGTCAAAGCGAAAATATATTCATCGAATCCGTTTTAGACATTCATTTTTACAAGCAGACATTAAGAGATGTAGCATGAAGGGTTAGTTTCCAGCTTAGTTATAACATGTAAGCAAGCATCACTTTATATATAACAATAAACCACCCATAAAATACAGATAAGTAAGGCGATAGACTATTTATACGTAAGGTCATAGATGTATGGGCAGCCTATGCTCCATTGGGGGTAACAGGCGTAAGTAGGTCATAGATGTATACACATGTCTATGGTAAGTGTAAACAAACTTGTACATATATATATATATATATATATATATATATATATGTTACAAAATTTTTGACCAGATTAGAATGACATACTTAATAGTTAGACAAAAGTCGATTACTAAGACATGCGATAAGACCTCATAATTTGATGAATAGTTTATGTAAAGACAAGATTATGACATCTATCATAATCACATACTTGTCCATTATAAATTATTTGCAGATATTAGAAAATTTCTCTTATTGCTAAACTAAAATGAATGTAACTTTGGGTGATCTGTTCGTCTTAGGTATATAAATGAAGAAATATAAAAAAATTCTACAGGTTAACTTCACCTAGTAGATGAAGTTTTCATTGGATACGTTCTCAACATTAAATGACTACTTGATGGTTTTAAAAAAAGGATTGATTTTTTCCACCGATCTAAAAACGTACGATCACCATTATCAGGTGATTTGGAACTAGTGAAATTTCATACTGGATAATTTACTACAAGTAACTGATATTGCGATAATGAATGACAAAAATCAGTAACGCAATAAAATGTACTATGTGCTTACTGGTGACTAGCTCTGTGAAGAAATTCTCAGAATTTTAGTCAGATGTGACGAGTGAAGTTCAACCCTGTCGGGTATAAGCAGTAACTGCCGAAGACAAACGGCCGAGGTTGTGCAAAATCGCTAGATTGATTAGAGTTACATAATAACACCACTGAATGCCGACGCAGTGGTCCAAACGTTAGGCGTTCACGCAAGACCGAAGGCCCTGGGTTCGCATTCTACGAGTAGCAGGAGTCGTGGATGCGCACTGCT